AAACAGACCTAACTGATAAGAAAGTATATGAAACCCAACCTCAAAAAATAAGACATCATCCCATATGCATATGATAAAGGGCTCAAAAATGCAATTATATTTTATATTATCCTTTCTTCCTCAAAGTTATGTCACTTTAGAGATAGTCAGGGGGAAAGAAAAGATTTTCTTCCAGTGTATAGTTTGAAATCCTTTCAAAAGCCACAATGTGTATGTGTTTTCATCACATAGATTCAAACCAGAGCATTCTCACGAACCTACCACTCAAGAAAGCCAAGAATAATCTAGCCAAGCCAACTTGCATATAAGAAAACAGTAATGTCTACTGTCCTGGGAAACCGCAAAACATCACTTACATGTGTATCTTGGTTTGTGACAAACCCTTTCAGGATTCTGAAAAGGAGAAAGCTATGAAATATCAATTACAAAGAGGTTATCAAGGACTATGAAAGTAGAATGCTAGGCTGATATCTGCTTCACTTTTAGCAAAGTATACTTCACAAAACTTCCATACACATAAAACTTTAAAAACTTCATTTTCTTTTTTTGGGGGGGTACCTGGGTTCAAACTCAGGACCTTGCGCTTGCAAGGTAGGCGCGGTACCACTGAGCTAAAGCCCCAGCAAAACTTTAAAAACTTAAGAGGCAGTTCATAAAAGAATACAGACATTCTACTAATAATAAATGGAAATGTTCAATTATGCTAAGCAATGAAACCTATTAAAATTAGAAAAATCTAAAATAAAATCACCTCAGTTATCCTGGTAGTTCTTAAGTATTTTTTATATTATTCACATATATAAAGCAAATTTAGTACAGTATGTGGAAAGATGTTCACTTTACCACAATCTGGCAAAGAAAAAATTGAATGAACAACAAAAAATAAAGATAAAATTAATGACAGAATATCTACTAGAGAAATATATCCTTTGTTCATGTATTCATTAACCACTGTGTTTTAGAAAGGATTTAAACCAAGTGTGGTGGTGTACATCTGTAATCGCAGTACTTGGGAGGCTGAGATGGAGGATCACCCTGCATTCAAGGCCAGCCTAGGCTACATAGTGAGTTCAAGGCCAGTCTGAACTACATAGCAAGACCGTGTCTCAGAGAAGAAAAAAAAAAAAAAGGATTTAAGATGACGCCTATGATTATACATTGCATAACTATGAACATTCTATAATATGATATATTATATAACAACATGCAGAGAAAAAGGGGAATACTTTAAAATACTATAGTATGTATTTGGGTGGTAACATCATAGGTGATTTTTATTCTCTTACTTTTTTAGTTATATGTGCTATATTGTGCACTTATATTTTTATAACATTGTTATAATAAAATGTATATATCTTTATAATGAAATGTATACAATATATATGAAAAGTATAAAAAGAGATTACTAGAAATAAAACTCTTGTCTTCCTGTGATCATTTATAGTAAGACAGCTCTTCCTACATGTATTGCCACGAATGATGAACTGAAAAAGGGAAATGGAAGTAATACCTAAGAGAAAGGAATCCACACGGAAATGAACCTCATCAAATAAATTTGTCCTGGGCAGGGGATTTAGCTCAGTGGTTCCACCACCTGCCTCGCAAGCACAAGGTCCCGAGTTCAATCCCCGGTACCAAAAACAAACAAACAAACAAACAAAAAAATCAAATAAATCTGTCCCATTTGTTTGTCAGTTAAAAGTATCAAAAGAAAAACAGATGATAAAGGTTGTGAGGAATGAAGGAAACATATAAATATCAGAATATCAGAGAAAGCCAAGGCATTTTAATCTTGAAATCAAATAGCCTCTCACTAAATTTATGGTAACATGGTTGTCTTGTTTGAATTCTTGTTTCAAAAAAAAAAAATACACAGAGAAACAGGAAGTAGGACTGTGGCTGCCAGGGCTGGGGCAGATGGGCATGGGACTCACAGGTTAATGGGGATGGAGGGTTAACTTGGGTACATGAAAAAAGTTCTGGTGACAGACGCTGGTGACGGGTGCACAACAATGTGAATGTACTTAATGCTGCTCAACTGTACACTTAAAAGTTGACAAAATGGTAAACGTATGTTATGTATTTCTTACCATAATAAAAAAATTAAAGAACGTATAAGGGGGTCTGATTTGAGATAGACCAAACCCACAGGGTATTTCCTTAGCTTAGCTCATTGGGTTTTCAGCACTTCTGAAACAATAGTTGGAAAAGATATGAGCTTAACATATTAAAAGAAAAATGTTAGTTTCATTTTTTTTCCCTAATACCAGGGATGGAACTCAGGACCTTGCACTTTCGAGGCAGGCGCAGCGCCACTGAGTTAAATCCCCGGCCTGACATTAGTTTCATTTTAATACCAACTCCCTCTCGATTAGAGGGCCAGGACAGTGTATGTGTTCGATTAACCTTCTCATGTAGCTAATGTCAGGCTGTGGGGAATCAGGAAAATATGCCTCACCTAAAAAAAGGCTTAAAAGTAAAGTGGCCAGGGCCGGGGATTTAGCTCAGCGGTTTCGCCGCCTGCTGTGCAAGCGCAAGGACCCAAGTTTGATCTCCGGTACCAAAAAAAAAAAAAAGTAAAGCGGCCATTAGATTTAAAGGAAAAGGAAACTAGTAAAGTCACTGACAATTCTGCTGCAAATTTGTGAACACTGGGTATACGAATAAATCTCCCCAACTGCGAGTACCATTCCTAGATGTTAGGCAGATACAGAGAGAAATGTCCCCACCTTTTTTGGGAAGGGTCAGCGTCAGCCTGGTTAGGCATTCTACAGATAGAAGTATTCTAACTTAACATAATTTTCTGAGCATAAAAATGCAAGAAAAACAGGACCATGTCTAATTTTCACAATCACTTAAAAAAATCTCACTTACCCTTCTAGTGTTTTCAAGGATTTTGGGGTCGGGCTTCCCGTAGTTCGGGGGGTTGGCATATGGGTCGTATCCGAGTTTGGCGAGCATGGGCGCAATCGCGGCCATGTCCTGGAGCACATCCGGAGGTATCTTCCCGACCCATTTGGACAGAGCGCCCACGTTGACGGGCTTGATGACTTGGTCTGTAGATCGCTCTACTCTGAAAACAACATAAGCAGACACTAGCTTAACATTTCTTAAGTGATGTTAAAAACCCTTTGTACCCCTGCTGGGGATCTTCCCCAAAGAATTAAAAGAATCATACCACAGCGATATATGTGCACCCATGTTTATAGCGGCACAGTTTGTAATAGCTAAAGCTTGGAAACAGCCCAAGTGCCCATCAACTGGAAACTGGATAAAGAAGATGTGGTTTTTTAATAAAATGGAGTACTACTCAGTCATAAAGAACGAGAAACTAGAGTCATTTATAGCTAAACGGATGCACATTGAGGCCATACTCTTCAGTGAAATAAATAGGACACACGTGTAAATACCGAATAGTTTCTCTGGTGTGAAAAACTAAAAGTGTAAATGAGGATCAAAATGTATAATTGATATTGTGAAATAGGAAGAAAAGATCTAAGGAGTAGGGGTAGTAGGAGAGGAAGGGGAAAGGAAAGGAGGGAAAAGAAAAAAATACAAGAAAAGGGAAAAAAGGAAACAAAGTCTTTGTAAATAGGGAAGGGAGGACGGGGTGAAGGGAGGGCTGGGGAAGGGGAAAAAATAACCAAGATACATCATGTAAAGGAGAGATGAATCTAACTGTATTGTACACCTAAAATGTACCAATCAACTTAATGAAAAAAAAACCATTTGTAAGTTATTTTCAATCATTTTAAAAATTAGAATTGTCTGGATTATAAAGCAGCTGTGAGAGAGGGCACTAACAAGATTTAACACCATTTACCAGGCCTTTTAAAAAATAATTTTAAGTTTGACAGTGATTATTGGCAACCTTGGGTTTCTAGAAGAAAAAGGGCCAGCTGGAAACATCTGGACAAAGTGTGGTAACAGATTAATTATTATATCCTGGAAAAAAGAAAAAAAACCACTTGGAAAAACTGCCTGTCAATTTGCTTGATGCAATGAAGCAAATATGGTAAAATGTTAAGTAGAGAATCTATTTCAATTATTTTCTATGTTTGAAATTTTTCATACTAAAGCACTGGAGGGAAGACAGCCAAGTAAAAATCACTAAAATGCAAAATATTCACTTGTCCTAGTTTTCTGTTGACTACCCAAAGAATCTTATTTTCCACAGAAGAAACAGAAGTGCTATTTATGATGATTTTCTATATTACAAGACTCAATCTTATAAGACAAATATGTTCTACATCTTGACCTAGAAATTTACAATACTTTAAGCCTGTAGTGCTTATACTCACTATGTTTGACTAATAAGTAGTAACTTAGGGTAAATTATAAAAGAAATGGCATCTGGATTTAAATTGGACCTGCATTAGATTTTGGTTAAATGACTATAAATGCAAAGCTGACAGATAGGAAGTCACGTTTACCTCACAAAAGATAAAAGCCCCTTCTCTTTAGGTCTATGACTTCACTGCAGATAATCATATCCAATGAGGACTCTTTCAAAAGGGTTCTGCTCCTCAAACAACAGAAGCAAAAGTAAGTAGGCTCTTCTCTGGGACCCTGCGGAGCACCCACTCCAGCTTCTCCTCCTCCCTCAACACCGCACTCTCTTGCCTCAACTATTTCTCTAGGACTCCGTTTAACCCACCACTTCCTTTACTCTGTCCTTTTCCCCTGCATGGCTTCACCTGTGATGACCTTGGCTTGACGTTCCTATCTCTCCTGTGTAAAGAACACCCTGGTTTCCCCGGGACAGGTCCAGTTTCTACCAACTGGCCCAGAGTAACAGCACCTCCAATACTCTCCTAAGGCTGTACGATAAATCACACATACACCTACATACCTACACCCTCTGAGGGGAACATGTGCACCTCAAGACTAAGATGGTCCGTCTTGATGGAAGGCACCATGCCTATCCACAAGGCAAAGCCAAGGGTGTAGGATGGGACAAGGAAAAAGCAAGACCCCCTGTGCTGGGGTCCGACTGGGAGGAGGGCAGGACTCCACCCAGGACAGTTCTCCCTCCCCGGGCCTCTCCCCTCCTGCCCTTGAGTGTCCTTTGAGGTGAGGTGGGAGCGCAGGCCTGGGGATTGTGATCAGGCTGAGAAGCCGCAGGCTCTACCAAGATAACAGAAGTACTGACAATTGACTCCCAGAAACTGCCCTTGTGCCAGCTGAATACCCTGTGGGAACACAATGTCAGCCAAAGGGCTGCGGCTTGAGACTAATTGAATCTACACATGATAATGGCCTTAGAATGACTGCAAGGCTGACGGACTCTGAAGTGAAAGATCTTAGTCTAACTCGGTTCTTTGGCTTTGATTCGGAGACATTTTCTCTAGCTGTGAATTTACTGGACAGATTCCTGTCTAAATGAAGGCACAGGGCTTGGGATTTAGCTCAGTGGTACTGCACCTGCCTCACAAGCACGAGGTCCTGAGTTCGATCCCCAGTACCTAAAAAATAAAATGAAGGTACAGACAGCCCAAGCACCTTGGTTGTGTTGGACCGAGCTGCTTTTATTTGGCTGTAAAATTAATAGAAGAGGACAGAAATGTCCCAGTGGCAACTGACTTGATCCAAATGAGTCATATCAGTTCACAGTTTCAGACTTGACTAGTAGTATTTAGATAAATTTTTAGTAAATTGGAGGGTTTTGTTCTTTACATAAATAGTATTATTCCAACAACAAAAAATTTCTTTGAAGCCTTTCTACACAACATTGAGCTATGGATTCCATAATGTTATAACAGATTAAAGTTATGAATCCTCAAAACATCACAACTAGATTAGTACAATGTTCTCCATCTTTGGAAAATTGCTTAATTAATAGAACGCTGCACTAGGATTGTTTAGATTTGAGTTCATCTGTAAAGCATAAATGTGAAACACTGAATACAACCCTGAAAAGGTGAACTGTGAATCCTCATTTCTAACATTAATTTTACTTTCTATATTGGATTCATTTCTAACATTAATTTAACTTTCTATATAATTTAGCTTTCTATATTCTAACATTAATTTAACTTTCTAATTTAACTTTCTATAGATGATATTGAAAATGGTAGCCTACTTAATTTAAATGTTAAATTTTAAATTATGAGGTTTACATCAAAACCAACATTTCACACATGCACTTTTTAAAAGCATAATGAAGGTTATATTCTAGATAATGTAATGGTTTCTTGGCACCCATAATGGAATTAGTAGATAGTTCAGAGATGAGAATGTTATTGCTATATGGGAATTACATTTAAATTTAAAAACATTTTGTATTAAGCAAAAATACAGACCTACTAAGTTTGGCATATTCATTGAGCTATCTCTAATGTTCCTTCTAAAAAAACAGATGAAATTTGTATTGATGATAAAAATTTCTATGCAGAATCTACCTCCTCAGTCTACCTAGTTCCATTTTATTTGTTGTTGTTTTTGTTTTTTGGTACCAGGGATCGAACTTGGGTCCTTGTGCTTGCACAGTAGGCGGCAAAACCACTGAGCTAAATCCCCAGCCCCTAGATCCATTTTTAAAAATATGCTCTATTATATTACACAGTAAGTCAAAATCAATTATCACTCTGAAAACTTGTTGTACACTAAGTTCTGGCTAGATAAAGCACTCCAGGTTTTACTATGAACTGTTTCTATAAAACTGCCATCGCTTCCAGGTTTTTTTTTTTGAGGAACAGAATATACTTTCACAAATTTCCGTAATGCGTCTTAAGAAAAGTAAGGAGGCACTGCCATATTTATGAAATTGCTGAGGTAGTGTTTGGCATTCTCCATGTGAGCCAATCAATGTAAGGAGTTGTACATATATTGTTAATGTTATAAACAGTTAGTGTAGCCTGAAGCCTGAGTCTATCCAGAATAGATGTAACCAATTTTGACATCATGTTATGGATAACCATTGAAAAATAAACCAAAGAGGGCTGGGGGTTTAGCTCAGTGGTTTCGCCGCCTGCTGCGCAAGTGCAAGGACCTGAGTTCGATCCCCGGTACCAAAAAAAAAAGAAAGAAAAAGAAACCAAAGAACCACAGTATATTCTACCTTTAACTTTTCATAAACCATGTTTTGTGGATAACTTCAGTTTTACCATAAGGCTGATATATTTCAATATTTTGAAAACATCAGTATTAATTTTGAGTTGGCTGAGGTAACCTAAGAAACTACCATTATGTTTGGTACTAAGAGATATACCATTTAATAATATTATTGAAATGAAAAAAAAAAAAAAGCAAGATGGCAGGTCGGGGATTTAGCTCAGTGGTTCCGCCGCCTGCCTCACAAGCTCAATGACCTGAGTTCGATATCCCCAGTACCAGAAAAAAAAAAAGCAAGATCGCTCCTATGTTTGCCAATTTACACACTTTGTCCTATGTTTTAAGTAGGACAACTTCTTCTCCATTCCTACTGCCTCCACTTAGTTCTTGCTACCATCATTTCTCACTTACATCCCTACAAAAACCTAATTTCCCAGCACATATGTAGCTGGATTCCTTGTCCATTTTCTATCATTCTACTGGACTATACATTAGTACACCTAGTACATTAATATACAAAGATAATAAATGTTCATTAGGTGAGTGATTAAAAGCTTTCTCAGGGCTGGGGATTTGGCTCAGTGGTTTCGCCGCCTGCTGCGCAAGAGCAAGGACCCAAGTTCGATCCCTGGTACCAGGAAAAAAAAAAAAGTTCCAGAAAAAAAGGCTTGGAGTAAACATTTTCTGGATTTATGTGGGGCACTTCTCACATATCTAATTTAATTATTAAAATGACCTTAAGAGAGATACCATTAGTTCTTAATTCTCAAATAGCTAACATGAAACCTGGAGAAAGGACGTGATTTTCCCAGGGTCACACACTCTGAAAATAAGAGTTCGAATTTGAACCCAGGTCTGTCTGACTTCAAAGCTCCTGCTTGTCCCAGTATCTCTTATTGCCATCCTATTGAGCATACTGATTCTTACATTCTGTGCTTCCCTGAACAAGGTCTCCTTTTACTGTACACTGCCAAGACACGTTGGTTCATCATGATGATAAAAACATACCAATGTACCATA